CAACAGATAGCACTGAATAAGTTGCGTTGGTTTGGGCACGTGTTACGCATGTCTGGTCACCGCTTACCTAGGAGGGCCTTGTTCAGTCTACCAGGTGTAGGATGGCGCAAGGCTCGAGGTTGACAGAAGTTGACTTGGCAGCGGGAAATGAAGTCACTGACGACCAAACTAGGTGCCCTCGGTCCGTCTCGCCTTCCGGGTTGGAGTCCACGTGACTCACCTTGTGCTTGGCTGGAGAATTTACAGGATATGTCTCGCAAACGACACCAGTGGCGCGTCTGCTGCCGTCTTCTAATCGGATTGCCTGTTTAAAGTATGTTTGGTGCTGAGTTATCTGCGGGGTAATGGCTGATTATGACGCGTGGCAGTGAAAGCCGCAAGGAAGCTGTCTCGCCGATGCCGCCTTATCTTTGCACGGTAGCCAGCTGTTTGTGACGGTATGTTGTCTTCGCAAGGTGTAGGCGCCTTGACCCTGAATGCTTGCTTAAGGCATTAAGGTTTTCAGGTAAGTCCCCCTTCTCTCCTTCTTCTTATTCTTTGTTTCATAGGTTCTCATGGTTGTATGGCAGCGAAGTATCAGTTCAAATGGCTGATGTACTGCTGTTGATGATGATGATGATGATGATGCTGATGATGATGATGATGATGATACCATGTCACACGTACGATGCCATCAACAGGATTCGTGGTCTATCTTTAGGCCATCGTGAACTTTCGCCCTGATGTCACTGCGAGTCTCGTTGTGCTCACTTTCAGCCGAAGTGCGTCGGCGAGCAACGATAAATTCCCGAGACTGCGAAGAGACTCAATGTCCATGTTGGCTATTAGACTTACCAGATAAGTTATTGCCTGCTGCTAGTAAGGTCTGGCGAACTTGCGACAAGTGACCTGAAATTTCATTTACTGAGCGCTTACTCAACTATCACGTCAGCGTCCTTCGAGCCGCATTCAGAACACCTGGTTTCACCAGTTGGCTGGTGTCTATGCGCTCACAAGGTCCTCAAGTGTGACCGCCAAGATGCACCCGCAAATCAGCACCTACAAGTGCATGGTCAGTGTCCAAACATGTGCTCCAAATCGATCGACCGTTTTCCACGCATCCTTTGAAGCGATAATTGAGCTCGATGTGCTCGCTTTGTGTCCTTGGCTGGGTCGAGGCTAGTACGTACGATGTCACCTTCCTACGGGTGCTGTGTCAAAGGTTAATGCTCCCAAAATAAGCAAGAATATTCACAAAACGAAATAACCGCTCACTGTTATCATTGCAGAAGCCTATACTATGTTGGCCGCTCAGACTCAGCTCATCAGTGAACATTTTCCCAACACAAGTGTTCAGATCGCCAGCCAGCACAACAGTGGCTCTGATCCTTCTGTGGTGAAGGAGCTCGTTCAGCTAACGATAGAAGTCGGATTCCCCGCGTTGCCGCTACAGTGTGTGTGGGGCGTAGGCAGCAAAGACAGACAGAGACCTATTAGCCTTGCGCAAATTCGAATCTTTGAAAGAGCCAGCCAGTCAATCCGCACACATCCGGATACTGATGTGAATCTAAGCTAGCAAATCTGCTTTAGCAGAAAAACTTATAGCAATACCAACGACAAGCTTTGAAGGCATTGAAAAGGTATCGTCCAAGGATGGGCACAATGAGAAAGCAATGATAGTGTCACTTGAAGTAGAAAGTAGACTAAGAAAAGAGTTCGGGAATTGCATGTGGATTTCCGAAAGGCAGCTGATATCGAACGCAAGGGACTCGAAGGTTTGTAAAAGGGCCGGTTATTAAACGACAAGTTGCAATATGCGCAAGTTGAGGCACGCTAATGTGAAGGAAAAAGGTTGCGTAAAATAGAAGCCGATGAAGAGGGCTTGACCTAGGGATAGACATGGAATTGCCAATAGGGCAAAAGAGAAGATCCGCGTTTACATGTGGGTCCAAATCGTGTATATTTATAGCCAACTTCACGCATAGTGCTAACAAGTTAGCGTGTTAAAGTATCAAAACAACCTGTTGTTCATTCAAGTTTACGCAGACATCAATTCCTTGTCTCTTTGAGGGGTTACATGAACGCACTATCAGTGACACCCTCATTGGTCATGGGGCACTAACCAATGGGACTCCCTGGATAGAAGCACATCGCTAGATGTATGCGTCTAGGTGCGACAGGTATGCCCCGAGTACGTTGGCACATTGATATCAACGGAAAATAGACAGGCGTGAGAGTGTCAGTGCTAGGGGTCACCAACGGTACACATGACTGTAGCTGGTCAACGTAGGATGAGATGTTCGAACGTTCTCCCTCAGCACCCCTTTAACAGAACTTTTGTCGGAAAGAGTTACCATTGGTTCGTGTTCGGATCCGGCCGGTAGCCGGTGTCCCTGTGCCAAATTTCTAGCGCTTGTCCGAACAGTACGTAACGTATCGAGCGCACAACATCTAATGGGTCCAAGGTACACAGTACCAGTGGCACATTTAGGCTCCAGGTTAGCAATGCCTCTGGTTAAAACACTATCCCGCATGGATATAATAAAAAGTATCAAATCATCAAGTGAAAAGCTGTGACAATAGTTGGCACAGAACATACACGCATAGGTGATGTCGTGCTCTTATAAGAGCAATATAAATTTATCTTCTTATATTTGTTTGCATTCCTGACAAGGCATTTGCCCCATACGTTTGCCTTATGCGATGGTTGGACGCAAAGTTGCAGTTTGAGTATGTTTTAGACACTGAGGACTAATTACATTGCGTTAAGTGGTGGTATTAAACCCATTAGACCTTATCTGAGATTTCATTGAATGAATGCTTAAATGATCTTTCTTGCGAAAAATGACTTAGTGCTGTCCAGGTAGAGGTCGTTTCGTAACTAACTCTGAAAGGATGGCAAGTCTCACACAACCTGATGGTGCATGGCGGCCGATTCCACAGAGAAGCGTATATAGTGAGACGAAAGTTAGACCGCAAATTTGTTCCACATCTTGATATAATCCGAATAAGGTCTTTGTTATTCTGGTCTCATTGGTATTTTGACACACACGTGTGACGTGCGTGCTCTCAGGTCATTTGGATTATCCCCGTCTATCCTCTCTCCATCTGCTCGCAGCGTTGTCATTCAATCCGGCTCGACGCGCTCTTTCCAACGCACCGCGTATTTCGAATGCACGAATTACAGACGACTAGCTCCCGTCGATTTTTACATTTTCCATCTTCTCTGTGGAGGTTTACACAAGGAATTTCTTTCGGTTTGCATCCTACACCATAAATTGTGACCTTTTTTGGAAGCCAAACATAAGGGCTCTTTAACAACTACACGACTACTTTTATCGATAGCTGCGTAAGGCAGATACAGGCAGCAATTTAATGGATCTACCGCTAATCTTTCGATTGTGTCGCAGTCATTGAGGCTGCCACTTCAAATCAACCCACCGGTTACTGGCCGGAACTCAATCAACAAGCACCTGGAGCTGGAGGGTGTCAATGAAGCTCTGCAAGTTAAGCCAGCATTAGGCACCAGATCGACAAGGAGAAGAAGTGCCCACTCGACCAACTCACGTGAACTGATCGAAGGCTGACATTCGAAGCAGGCAACAATCAATAGTTACTCGGATCTGATATTGGTTTGCGAGACTGCGAATCAGGACTGAATAGCCGCACTGAAGATGTTGCCTAGGTGGGCAACGAAAAGTCTGCAACGGAAATGCCCGGTTCGGAGAACAGGACAATCCTCTCACACACCACTAGTGCCACATCAAGAAGCACTCTGACCAGATCGATAGCCTGTGCTTCGTTCCGATACCTGTCTGGATTCACCTGCAACCGTTTGTGACCTGTCACGAGGATCGCCTGTGCTGACCCGACTGCTAACCGCTGTGTAATTGGAAAGTTGAGACAACAACAACACGTTTGGAATTGGTGGAGAGATCGCGTTTCCAAAGCAACAGCGTGTGCAACTTGGAGGCGGAGATTCAAATAGTTCACTGCAGTGCGTTCTTTTTGTGACTAATTAAAACGCACAGTTTCCGGGCGTTGCCATTTTACCAGCGTTATATTAGACGTGGAATTTCCGTTAAGGGTCAAAAGTTAGCACCCACTGTCTAAGCTCCTCTGATTTGCTTCAGTGTATTTTACTTCGGTTTCATTATCAAGTTGTAGAGAAGAATCGATATTGTTTTGGCGCGCGTTTAAAGTTGAATCGTTGCTATAACGGCACGCTCTCCCGTTTGCGGTGTCGGCCATCTTTCGGAGTTCGCGCACGTAAGTCCTAATGCTCTCTCCGGGCCACTGGTACCGTGAGTGGAATTCCCTGCGTAGGGGTGCAGGCAATGCAGGAGGGTCTAGTAGGTGGCGCAAGGCAGTGAACGTCTCAGACGTGATTTCTGTTTCCAGAATGTTACTATCAGCAACGACATCAAAAGCATCCCCTGACAGTAAACCAAGAATGCCAAGAATGAACAACAAGTCTGATGACGAAGGCCATTCTGATGTCGTTGACCCCACTACCAGACTTTCCGCTTCACTGGATGTTTTGTCCCGTGCTTTGGAAAAGTTGTCAACAGGCTCGAGTTCGCCAGTCTGTATGCATGCAATCCCACCTCCGGAGCGTTACACTCTCGGGATGCCGTACTCCAGATGGGAGAAACAAGTCCAGCTTTACCTCCGGCAGTTCCCAGTCCACCAACATCCAGGCGTGCTCGCCGGTTTACTGTCAGGGGATGCTTTTGATGTCGTTGCTGATAGTAACATTCTGGAAACAGAAATCACGTCTGAGACGTTCACTGCCTTGCGCCACCTACTGGACCCTCCTGCATTGCCTGCACCCCTACGCAGGGAATTCCACTCACGGTACCAGTGGCCCGGAGAGAGCATTAGGACTTACGTGCGCGAACTCCGAAAGATGGCCGACACCGCAAACGGGAGAGCGTGCCGTTATAGCAACGATTCAACTTTAAACGCGCGCCAAAACAATATCGATTCTTCTCTACAATGTCTACAGTAAGGAAACGCTCGATGAGGAAAAAAGTATTATGGGCCAGGATTCGTCCATTTTAGTTCAAAATCTGAGACAAAATCTAAGGTATTTCGCACAGACTGGAAGCAGTAGTAAAGAAAATAACCAAAGCAGTGTAGGCGATGTAGGAAATGCCCTTGGACTGCATGCTGACCTGGGAAAGACGCCTGAAAAATGTCCATCAGTAGCTGAAATTGCGTACGCTGAACTTGCATCTAAAGTCGACATGCTCACATCGATATTGCAACCTTTGCAGAGTCTAGCTGTCTTATCTGAATCGCCCCTAAATATTGATAGAATGAACCTCATGATGTGCAGTGGTACTGATAGACTCCATTTCGACCGAAGTACACAATCGAGTACGCTGTTCACGCAATGCGGTGGTTTTTAATGTGCCAGACAATTTACCATTAAAAACTTCGGAAAGTGCTTCTCACTGCATGCGGTATGCAATCTTGTTGGTCCAGCTGCATCAGACTACGCAAAAATGTGATGCGTTACGCGTGTTCTTTAATTTTCCAGTTTCAAAATGAACTTATTGCTAAACAATTCATTCAAAAGCGTAATCTCATTGTGCTTAAGACAGCTTTCAAAAGCATGAAAATTAGGAAGGATAAAACCCCGCTACAACGAGAGATAAGGAGGAGAACGTCTGAAGTAAAACAGAATACCCAACAGCCATATGGCACCCCGCATCCAGTTGATATTGCTCAACTTAGTGGCCAACACAAATGTGAGGATAATAATCTGCTTGCTGCAGATAGGGACGAAGCGGTGAATGATAAGGTGATTTTTGAAACTAACGAGGAATCACATGAATATGCTGGCCACTCTATTGCATTAGATGCTGTGTCGGGTAAAACACCTACTTCTCTCACTTCAGAGCTAAGATCAAAGTCAGGTGCAAAATTGGTTACTGGATGACCTCCACTAGGTCGCAGTTTCACGGCTAAGCATGATAAACCGGCTAAGCCCAAAACCACTACAATCCACAAAACTAGTGATGTGCATGGTGCTTCCTCTTGGATAATCAGTTCTGGCAGTCATATAGGTTTCCCTAATACTCGGCACGGCACTTGTCAAAGCGCATTAATGAGCACTTTCGACGCTGGTTGCGTCGAGGCGGTACCGGGGCTATAACTAGCTCTGTTATGGCTCATCTAGTTGATAGTGTGCATGAAGTCGATCCAGTCCTCGCCTTTCGAATACTCTACAAGGTTCCGCCACTCCAATCGAAAGGCCTGCGCCTCCACACCCTCGCTACAGCTGAGGCGATCAGTATTCGGTTGTATCAACTGCTTTTGTGTTCACAAAAGAAACTGGTCGAAGCTGTTAAGTTACCCTGGCCAGAAAAAATGGACGATTCGGAGGCCAGAAGCAATCATTTGACTACATCTTTGCCCTAGTTTGCGCTTATCGTTTACGTTTATTGCTGGTTTATGCCCCTGGTTGGCACGTGATCCAATTTCATTTGAACTGATCGAAACCACTGTTACTCCCATTGTTCTTCACCCATATGATTGTAAAGGTCAGACGAGGAATTCATCGAAAACAATTGTTTACCTTTGGTCCCTTGTTCTTCATGATTACATGGGAATTTTCCAATTACTAATACTCTTTCCTGTATGCAAACTGACAAAAATGGGGATCAGCGAATAACAACTGTATTACCTGCTAAATCCCAGTTGCATGCAAAACCGCTACCTCAAGCCTCGAACTGTCATGTCCCTCCTAAAGGCTGCTCTGGCCAATGTCCAAGCTCATCGGGAATACCAATCGATCCGGTCAAATTGATCGATAGTAAAATGACGGTTGACCTAGATTTATCGCAAACATCATTGTGCGACTCTGTACCGTCATTTTGTTTGGATAGACGT